TTTAAAAGTTCAATGTATATAAATTTTATGTATTAATTAAATTTCACATATGAATATAGGTTTTTGACATTTTTGACGTGACGGTTTAAACTGTCACATGCCAAAAACCTGCTAACCCTGAGCTTAACCAAAGCCCCTAAGATATAAATCAAAATCACGTGTAAATCAAAAGCAGCAATTTTATATTGTTCATTAGTTTAATATGTTTAATATATTTATATCACAAGTTAAAAGAAACTTAAAAGTTTCTTTCCTACATGTGAGTGATGCTGCAAATTATGAAGCACACACATATTGAAAGAAACATATTCAAGCTATAACTTAACTTCTTCATGAGAGTGTTTTTTCAACAATAAAAAAATGTAATAAATCTGTGAAAATTCTTTTTTACTCTGATTTTTATAATTGTAAAATGCAATGCATTCATTATGCTTTAAACAAGACAATTTGTATCCACGTTGGTTGTAAAAAAATATCACAACACTAAGTTCTTTTTTTGTTTCTCATTTCAGCATAGTACTTAAGCTATTACTTACTTTAAAAATTCTAAACAACATACTTGAAATTATATTGTTATTTATCATTCATTTTTGTTTTTTAAGAACAATGCTCTTGAGAATAATTCAGTCACATGTTTGGTCAAAGTTCCTTCTGATGTTGAATCTGCTTATTTACGAACGAGAGAAGCTTTACAAAGCATCGATTCCGACTTAGAAAAAAGTGGAATCGAAAGAAAGAAGAAGAGGGAAAAACTGAAGTGTTTAGAACTTCCATCTGAAGCTTTTTACCAATTTTGGAAAAAGGTAAAATTTTTCTCTTTCTCTCTCTTCAGTTAAAAAAAATTTTTTTTGTTGTTTTTTACTCTATCTTCTGTTTAAAGAAACCGTTTGTATGAACAAGTTTTATATTCTAAATGTCTGTATTTTATAACAATAAACCTCATGCTCAGTGATGCAAATTGATATTAAATATCAATAGTTACATGTTGATTGCTGTCTTGTAATATTAACTTTGAAGAGATCAATGCTGTCATATAAATTGCTTGGCACATATTAATGAATTTTCACTCGAAAATATAAATATTTTCTCTTTTCTACTTTATATAAAAATGTTAGATTCTCTTCTAATGAAAAATAGCATGACCTTAGTTGCAAAAAACTTGAAATGCTAACAGACTGCTAAGAGTTAAGATATCATGCACAGGGTGGCCACCCACCTTGAAAACCTGAAATATCATGGAATTTTTCTATACTGGAAAAATCAGGGAAATTTCGACAGAAACCTGGAAAAATCAGGGATTTTTTAAAGAAAAACTGGAATTTTTTCTTTGATTTTTCTTAATTTTACTAATTTAAATTATTTCTAATTTTCTTAATTAAAATTATTTTACTAACTGTTATACCCACTTTTAGACGAAAATTTTTTGCCACAGTTGAAATACTTCACTTGCATCAAAATTTGGTTCATTATAACCCTGTTAAACTCTCATGGTTTCTTAAGGAACAGATAACATTTCCAGGTCACCTCATTCCCATAAGGTGACCTGGCTAGCACTCTATCCCCTGAGTCAAAGATGATAAAATAACATTAAAAAAATATTTTAAATAGAAGAATACTTTATAATATTAACACTTTTCTTGTACCAATCCTAAGCTTTATGAGGGAAAGATAGCACATTGACCTGGAAATTTTAGGATTTTTACCTGGAAAGATCAGAGAAATTTGAAACCTGATTTGAGTGGCCACCCTGCCTGCACTTACTCAAAGTTATTATTTATCGATGTTGGATATAAATCAACAATAACTCCTAAGCATATTTTTCTGTCATTCATCTTCACCTTTTAATTTTTTAATGGACTTTACATGGATTGTAATATTGATTATGGTGTAATATTTTTATTTTAAATTAAATGGTACTTATTTATTTCAGAAATTTTGTCCTCCTTTGGGAAAAAGTGTCAATAAGGGTTTTGTTGTCAACTGTAAACAGCGTATTTCTTTTGGAATAAGTAAGAATTACAACACTGTGTAAATTTCTTCTGATTAAGAATAATAATTAATTTGTTAAATTTTACAATGCAGGACTTGATCTGGTAACCAGTTAACTAGAATGATTTTTAAACTACTTTTGGGATAGGAAATGGCTCAGTGTGTGCTTGTTGCGAAGTGCATGCTTGTATAGATCTTTTTCTTTCTTAAGTTGAAATTTGTTTTCTCACTTTTTCTTTTTTGTTTTGGATGGTATTATTATCTTAATTAAAAAACGATCTTGTAAATGATTAATAATTGCTCTTTTGTGATTATGAAAACCAAAAGGAAGGAAATTCGTACTGATATCAGTCTTGCCAAATCCATAAGAATGTTTCTCTACTGAATATTACATAGGTACTTATTTAGATGCTTTTGAATACCTTAATTTTAGCCCCAAAAATTAATTTAAACAAAGAAGTACAAGTAATTTATTTAATGTTCTATAATTTCATATTATTTGTCTGGTTGTTATTGCTTTTCAGATTCATGCTTAAGACATAATTCTGCAATACCTTAAATCTGGCTAGAAATAAAGGAATGCTTATATTTTAAGGTAGCATTAATTTTAAGTGCAGTTAAAGGTGGACTTGCAAGTAATCTATGTATGTAATGACTTGCAAGTAATCTATGTATGTAATGTAAAACGATTCATGTTCTGTATTATGTTTTAAAATTGTGTAAACAATATGATGTTAAAGTTTAGTACCATAATAGAAAACTTATAAATCTATTAAAATTGTGAAATAAGTCATGCGAACTTAAACCGAGATGAATTGCTCTTTAAAGGAATATTGTTAAACTATAAATTGGCCAAAATTAAAACATAAAAGCTGTAATGTTAAAAAAACAGCCTTTTTAATGGTTTTTTATTTTCAGAAGTTAAAAAAGCCTGAGTTTTTTTTTTTTTTTTTGCTTTGGCAATTGTTTGCCAACAACACACATGTTGGGAAATCTATTATCACAAACTATTATTAATTCTGGAAAAGTTTGCAGTTACTTGTGAAATAGTCCATGCCTTTGGATGTGGGTGACAATAATTTTATATTTTCCCTCCTCACTGTCAAATTCCTGGTCTTACAAAATTGCACACAGCGTTATTGCATGAGCAACAGTAGATATAAAATCTATTCAATGACTTGCAAAGAAAAATATATCTTTGTAAAATGTTGCATTTGAAAGTTTTATTGAAAGGCAATGTTTCTAATATATAATTTGCAATCAGGGTAGGTAATGACTATAAACCTTAAAAATAAAAAATAATAATTCCATTATGCTTGTTTTCAAAGGAATAGTAAATATTTATCATTATTTAGTTTCCCAAATGTTGGAACTAACACACTTAAATCATGAATCAGAAAGATTGTCTTCTGGGATCCCCACTTTCAGAATTGAAAATTTTAAACAAAGTATATGCAACTATAAACAATTCAATGTGTTTAGAATAGGAGAGAATTTCATTAATTGAATAAATGTCAAAATTTTAATTAATGGTTAAAATCTTTATAATTCCCCGATTTTGATAATTCTTATTATAATAAACTTTGATTGGATTTAAAATCTTCCTTTATTTTTCTTATAAAGGTTAAATACTTTAGAAATAGAATTTCAAAAATAATGTTATATTACATTTATAGATTATATTATTTTTCATCATTACCCAGCTTTCATTTCTTCTTTTTTTATAAATGTTATATTTATAATAGTTTTTTGAAAAGGGCCTTGAGAGCAATACCTCCTCCTCAGAGCTTAAAAATAAGCTTGAGGAAAAAGATTTTCTCAACAAAATCTGTAAATAAAAATGTAACAAAAAATGAATTCATTATGCCATGATTAATAGTCGACGAAGCACAGTTTGCTTGTGAGTAAATGAAATGTTCGTTGATTGAATTTTAAATTTGCTATTTGAAGCACTATAAACTCTGCATTTTTTTAAAAATATTTTTTAAAATATTAACTATAATAAATATTTGTTTCTATTTTATTTAACTGTATAAAAAACTAAATTTTTAGCTGAACCTGAAAAAAGGGCTCAAGATTTTGAAAGAATTACATTGTTTCTTTTAAGAAGAGTTCAACTAAAATACAGAGATCTAACACCAGATGCCCAACATCAAAAAGCATCTGAATTGGCTGTATCTTTTATTAGAATAAATCAAGTTATGGATAAACTTGATAGAAGGACCATGAAGCTTTTACATGATTTTGCTGAAAAATGTCTGTGATTAACTAATTATTTTAGTTGTAAATATGTGTAATTAATTCATCCCATTTTCCATATGTTTATTTGTCATATTACAGACTTTTAACACTACTTGAATTAATTTGTTCTTATTATCTATGATACAAAGGAATGCCATTGATTTAAGTAAGAAACATTTCATATTTATTTCTTAATAAGTAAATAAATTCAAGACAGACTATTAATTTCTAGTACTTAAACTAATGATTTTAGAAACTATTAAAAGAGATGACATAACTATTTGAATTATTGTCCACCTGATGTAAAGTTTTTCTTTGCTTAGCTGTAAAAGTTCCAGAAACAGCTTTTAAAGTCATTGTTGTTCCTTTAACAAATATTCAGTTTAAGAAGAAGAAAAAAATGGTGAATGATTCATCTCCACAACCTCCGAAACTGAAAAATAATTTGTTAAAGATACTGAAAGGTTGTTGAAGTCATTAAAAAAGCCCTAATGACAGAATTAAATTTTGGTTGTGTATATGAAACTTTTATATCCAAGTACAGAAGTTTTTGGGCCAGTCCTGAAATTTCTGGTTGTTCAAAATCTAAAATCTTTTGATATTTTTAAAACAGAAATATTTTTTTTTATTTTTTGTAAAACTGGCTATTTCTCTCCCTCTCCTTCTTTTTTTAAGAATGAAATTGAATAATTTAAGCATTTAACAAGTTACATAAATAAATATTGTTTTCCTCCAAGTAATTTTAAGCAGAATCTATTTACAGAAACTTAATACAGAAAAAAAAAATTGTCCCAGACATTTTCAATAAACAAATTCAAATTAATGCAATTTTTTATTCTAGTGGTAAAAAAAAAAATCTGTTATATTATTCAATCTTTTATGTTTATGAAGTAGTTTTGTTTTAATTATTATAAATATTAAGTTTTGTTTAATTTTCATGTAATTTGGATTTGTTGTGTTTAAAAAATTATTTTCTTCTCTTAGTATTCTGGGATTGTGAATTAGAATGTGTTTGAAGAAGCAAAATTAATTGTTTTTAGCACAGTTGATAACTTGGCAATTAAAATTGCTTTTTAATTATTGATAAAACAATAATTTTAATAGTTTCTAGTGTAAGGTAGTAAATCAATTAATAAAGAAAAATATAAGCTTTTTAATTGTCAATACCAGTGGTTCCCAAAATCAATAGTCTTATAACCGTTTTACTCTTTGATATGTTTTTAAAATATATGAAGTATTGCCATAAATTTAAAGTTTTCACTCCATTTATTGCATTTACTTTCAACCTAAAGAGAGTATCTATTTTAATAGTCTTTACTTTTTACATTCATCTTCCTTGCTTTCTTGTTTTCAAATTTGATAAAATAGCAATATTTAAAATTTTCAATTCCAATAAATATTTTATTTCATTTTGTCAAATAATTCTATTATGCCTCTCTTTTTTAAGAGAAATGGGTAAGAAAGAAAAGTTTTGATAATCTCTTTGTAAGAGTTTGTTATTTTATTAAATGAAAATTTGGAGCTTGCTAGTTTTCCATTTTTGAACATGTAACTCAGTTCTTTTGCATTTAAATAAAATTTATTTTTGGTAGTTTCAAATGCATTGCTGTTATACTACTTTCTTTCAACAGTTATTTATTTTTTATTATTATTTTTGTAAGTTATATCTTTTTTTTTTTAATGTTTAAAAAGATTGCAGCTTTCTTAACTTGTTTTTAAATTAAAGAGTTCATATGGTATCTAAATGATAATAAATTGAGTCTTTTCTGTTATAATGTATTGTGAAAGTGGAACATATATATATCCAAATGGAAGTTTTGAGAGGTTGTAAACCATCCATTTTCATTGCTTCTGAAAACTATGGGATAAAATGCAATTTTTGACAAAAATATCTCAAAAAATTTTGAACTGTTTTTTTAAAAAAAAAATTATTTTTTTCAAGTTTACTAAAATAGTGAATATGCATAAAATGGATTATCGTAAAGAAAACCCATGCTTTGTTTTTTTTTTTGGAGATCTCTTTTTTTTTTTTTTTTTTTTTTTTTTTTTTTTTTTTTTTTTTTTTTTTTAAATTTTGTCATAAAATAATAAATGTATGTGTATTGTTTTCCCCAATATATTGTATAGTTCATGTATTGACTCTATACTTTAAAATTCATAAACATTTGGTAAAAATTATCTGAAATATGAATTTTTTTTTTAAATATATTTCTGCATCTAAAAATAGTATCTGACAATTGTGTCTTTGCTTGGGCTAATTGTTAGTGTACCATTTTTGGAGGGGGTCTAACCCTAAGCATATTTTATATTACTTTAAATATCTTCATAATTTGCTGAAAAGTTAAACTTTATTTATTAAAGTAGTTTTCCCTGAACATAACTGCTTTTCGAAATATTTCGTTTGTATGTACAAGACAAATTCTAAAATTTACAACATGAAATTTCTTTAATCATTTTGGCGCATGTTTAGCAATAGAGACTGAAAGTCTACTCCTTTCAGCACACCAATTGTTTCCACTGTTGTGTTGCCATGTGTCTAAGTATAAGTTGTGGAGAATGGAGCAGCGACACCTTCGTAAAAGTCAAGGTCAGTGCTTGTCTGAGATGCATGGCCTTAAGAGCATATTGAAAAACGAAGTTATAAGTCTAAAATGAAGAGAGAGAAAAATCATCAGCCCAAAAATTATTTACTCCTGAAGTTTTTTCGAACACTTCTGCCTTGGTAGCATTTTTGAAATAAGTATTTTTAATGAATTGTATAATTTAATAATTTTGATTAACAAAATCTGATACAAGACATTCGATAAAACAGATTGAAAATTTTGGGCATGCTGCTTGCTTTTTTGTCCCCTTTCTTAAGTAACAATTATTATAGAATTTAAATTAATTGAGCTTCAGAGATCATTACAAATAGGTTTTTCTTTTTTCCTTATACATTTGCACATATATCCCCTGTTTTATTTTTTATTAATTTTTGTAATTTTTAAAAATAGTTTTATACATAAGATTTTAAAAATTAAAATAGATTTTATTTAATTTAATTTTTTTCTTCTGCTTTTTACAGATATGCATAATTTTTTTTCTTTCTGAAAGATTTTTTTTTTTTAGAACACTATCTTAATTACTTTATTTCTTTTACATAGTAGTTAAGATGTTAAAAGAAAGTCTATGCAGCCTAAGCTGTTTTTGATTGACCGATGCATGAAGTCCAATTTATTATTCATTATTCCATGGATGTTATTGTTGTGCCCATTTGAACATCAAAACACAACTGCACATTTTAAGTGACTAAAATATCACTTCAAAAATGAGTGGAATGTTTATTTGAAATTAAAATGTCAAAACACCTGAAACAAAAAATAAATTATCCTCCTGATTTAATTTTTTTTACAATTACATTTTATTTATGAACTCTGAATGTTTAACCTTTAAAACTATTTGCACACCACATTGCACTTTAACAGAAAAAATTATAATTCATGCGAATAACCATTTTGCTTAAAAGCCATCAATACCTCATTGTATCATTAACAGTGACTTTAACTTTGACTCAAATAAGCTTAATAGTCATAGTATTAAAAAAAATATTTAAAGATGTAACTGTTTATGTATCTGTTTTTGAATAATGATGCTTTTCTTAGAGTATTCTTAGTTAATTGTATACTTTAGCTATCATCTCATCATATAACTAGATTAACAAATTTATGTTATTCTGCTATTCCTCAGGGGGTTTACCATCTTTTGGTAAACACGGGTGTCACAATCCCGAGGTGCCCTAGTGATGTGTCAATTAATTTAGTCTATATGAAGGACTACTTTTATGTGCGTTAAAAAAAATATTTATAGTGTAGTACGATCGATAAATATATAGTTTTGAAATATAACCTCATTCTTAATACATGCTCCTCAGGGGGTTTACTTTTAGGTAAACACGGGTGTCACAATCCCGAGGTACCCCAGTGCAACAATTTCACTGTTTTCTTTTGTGTTCCGCGAATATAATCCACATTATGGTGGTCCTGGTAGGCTATTACTTACCACATAATATGTGGAAGTTTATTTCCCATCCTGTAAAATGTCTTGCTATTGATGTATAGTGTAAATCTGCGTATAGTTATTTAAAAAATTATGTAACTATTCCGATTTTAATATCATGAAATAATGCCTCTATTGTGAATGAAAAACTCAGTGTTGTATTAATAATAATAAAATCACTGAAAAAGAACCTCTAAACAACATATTAGAAACATGTTTGATCATAACATTTCATTCCTAACTGTAGACGCAGATCTAATGTGTGTTTGCAAAATAATTTAAAAAGTGTGATTGCATAGCAGCAAGATTTTTTTTTAAGTGGAAAACAGGAAAATACAAATTTATAAATAAAAGATCTTATCCTTAAAGCTAAACATTATCTGCATGGTGTCTCAGTATTAGAACTGTATTATTTGCAAATAGTTATCTCTTGTAACAAGTGATAATCTGTTTTAGCAATTAAGGAAATGGAATATAACTTCCCCATCTTTTGCTGCATAACATCTGGCATAGTCTTAAAGAAGGGCATTAAAAGAATAGTGCTGGTTGTACGTAATGCTGAGAAAAGGTTTGGGGAGTGTGATACTTTTACAAAAACAAAATCTAAATTGAGTTAAAACTCTAAAACTCCCTCCGAAGTATTAAAATTATTTCCCTCTATCGTCAGATAATCCTAATGCTCGATTATTTGCTATACTACTACTTCCTCACGCAACTCTCGACCCATAAACAGAGCATTATCTAATACGCTACTACTTAAAAAAGTTAAACTCCGTCGCCAGTAATGCGTGTGCGCAGCCCCATGTAGGTTTAAAATTTTTACAACAATTTTTGAAAGGATCAAAAATAAATCTTCGTAACTAAGTTTTTATTCCTTTGAATCCGAATAAATACTTAACGCATAACTAACTGTTAGACACTACTTAAATTAATACTTAAAACAACCCGACAAAATTAGCTGATTTTCAAACAATCTGTCCCCTTAGGAGTGGAAAAGCAAACAATCCTTCTTTAGTGGATGTCTACGTCCAAAATTCATGTTTATTAGTTAGAGCTCTGCACTAATGAACCAGGACCTGTCTTTTTATTGCTACAGTTTACTGTGTTGGTCCTTTTGTAAAACCACGCTCTTGTGGCAACTAACTCGCTATTCCCGACTGCGGTATTCGACCTCGTGTTTACTTTTTATAATGTAATGAGACAAAATTTAGATTTATGAAACTCTACATCCTTTGAATAGTATTTAAATAATTCAATCAAAAGTACAGTAAACCTAGAAAATTTATACATTCAATGATGTGCTCCAATTTGTAACGTATAAATCGCGATGTTCCATAATTGGGTACTTGCACTCCAAGAAGAAGACAATCCATACCCACACATGTGACCTATAACGTCAGCTCCAGCTAATCTTTATCAGCAAGATATCGTATTAAAGTTGAGCTAAGTTTCTCTACATAATTTAAAATGTTAACGTTATTAAATACAGAGCCGTGTCGCACATCAAATTAGTTGAAATATGATTCTTTCTCTTGTACGTTTACTTATATTGATGTATTATTTGTTTATGTATTTTATAATAACCGTGACATATTTTTGCATTCTGTACCTGGCAACGTCGATGCATAATAAGTTTGTTTATGTTCTACATGGCTTTGTACTAATATATTGTGAAAGAGAAGATCGAAATAGAATGGAAAGAACAGTTGCAAACGTACACAAAAGCCACGTTACAAAAACTAATCAGGATCGAGATACCCACACGTTACTTGCTGTGCGATGAAAATCACGCAACGAAGGATTTTGATTTAAAAGTAATGCAATGTTATATACGTGACACATAGAAAACAACATCGTTCAAAAAGTCCGGTTTCAAGATCGCGCGGATTTGCATTGTGATAAATTATTGAAAACCCCTTATTATTTGTAGTTTAAGTAAATTATTCAAATCCTAATTTAGAAGTTGGCTGGATGCATGTCGAAATAACGCATCTGTAATTATTTCTTCGTGAAACAAATAATGCGAGCAAAAAAAAAGAAATTGAATATTCACTTTAGATAGTGATTCCATCATTGCATCGAGAAAAAAAAATTAGATTAAAGTTGGAATATCAGTTAAGATACAGTTCAGCCCTGGACAAATTAAACATAAAATCTCAGCAAGCTTTAAGCTTAAGTATAAATGATCCTGGTTGGTTGGTTGGTGTCGTATCCTCTATTGAATCATATTTCATGGTGTGCTTGAATAGTTTTTGTTATTTCTATGGCATTAAAAGAATACAAATCCTCTTCTATGGGGTAGTTTAAGAGGTGCAGGCCTGCCGCGACTGCAGGGCAGTTAAAAACATGATATGGTGTCAGTTCCACATTAAGACAGTTGCCACAGTTTTGATATTTTCTAGTCTTATCTGTAGAAATTTTTATGATGTTTTGTTCTTAGTCTGATGAGAGTATAAATGATCCTTCTTTAGCTATTTAACAACGACCATTTTGGTTTTGAGGTGGTTATTAAAGTTGTTTCTGGGGCTATGACATCATATGAAATGTGCATCGGGTTTTTTACACTTTCTTAACTAAGAAATTTAACTAGAAATAAAATTCGCATGAGCATACTTAGATAAAGTTTAAAATATCGGTGTGTCGCAGTGGCAGCTTTTTACATCAGTCTAAAGATAAACTAACTAAACTAAAACAAGATATTTATTTACCCATGACCAAAAAGTTAAATCAGTTAGCTAGTACATAAATAAAGTTTTCGTTTCTCACTTTGCAGCTATTGTATCTTCTAGTACAATAAGCATATACAAGTTATTTCTATTTTTGAGAAGATGATATAAACTCTACATTGAATGAATTAAGAGAATTTCGCTATCACAGCGCAAGCTGAAATGGTCGTGGCTGAAGAAAATTATTGATTGAGAATTGAAAAAAACTTATTATACGCCTTTGAAATTTGTTGCAATGCAATATAAAAAGAAAATCTTTCATAAATGGTAGCATTTAACCTTTTCGAAGTATTGCGAATTGTAATAGCCGATCCTAATGTTAGAGCATTCTTCTTGAAAAAAATCATCCTTTACTCTCCTATATTCGTCTGTACTGTTTTACTGTGGATTATAATTATCCAATTGCTTCACCATATTCACCGCCAAGGAAAGCGAAAAACATTAATGTGTTCACACAAAGATATTGATTACAAGTTTCGTAAGATGAATAGAAAAGATGACTTATCTGAAAAGCATTCAAAAGTTATTTATCCCCCATTCAGCAATACAGTGTAAGTTTATGTTTGGTTTAATTTTAGACATTGAGTTTATACCTTTACTGGGCTTCTTTGAACACTAATTGAATCATAGCTACCTTGAAGTACCTTTAATGAAATAAAGCATATGTTTGTTTTTTTTTTAAAAAAAAACAGGGCCTTTTTTAATAATATTTTAAATGATACAAGTAATGAATTACTCTTCGAGTGCAATATGGTAATTCGTTATTGTGAAATTGGTCTTTATGTCGTTTGCAAGATTGGTAGTTTCATATTCACTATGCGTTTCTGCAAGTTCATCTCATGTTGTTAACACAGTCAACAAAATGACCTTAATAAAATTTATTTACATTATAAAAAACTGAAAGCAATGCACATTTAATCCTGAAGAAAAATTATGTTGAAAGTTGTAACAGTTTTCCTTGTCATGTTTATCTCTGTCCAAACTTACCGCAAGTGGATAATTTATACTGACTCGCGCAGTTTTATATCAAGTATTTCTCACATCGGGCGAAACCTTATGATTTGTAAAATCCAAAGTTGCTTTACAGAATTGTGTGATGAAGGATTCCATATCTACTTTTGTTGGATACAATCACATGTTGGCATACGCAGGAATGACCTTGCTGATATTACGGCTAAAGCCACTCAAAATGTAAGCAATAACCTTATAACATCTCTTGATATTAAACGTATATGTAAATCCACAGTACAAAAGGCTTGGAAAGATCATTGGAATATACAGACTAATAATAAACTGCGCAAAATTTATCCTTATCTTGACAACAACAGACTGCGAACGATTCAAACATTTGAGGAACAAACTTTTTGGCTGCTTTTATCCTAATCTTCAATCTTTGCTTGGTGACCCTATACATCGCAACCTTTTCAAGTTTATCAAAACTATAGGACTATATTCCCTGCTTTAAAGAAATACAGTAGTTTGACCAGGAGACCGGCTTTTAACCTAGTTCTTGGCGTAGTATAGCGATTTCTGGCTCTTGTGCCAATAAAATCCAACCAACCAATCCTTGCCATGTTTAGCAAAAATGATAAATATATATTTATTTTTACTTGTCAAAATTTAAACAAAACTTATATCACAAGGCTTAGCAATCAGTATTAAATCGAAACATTTCTATTAATATTAACTCTGAAGAACTTTCTGATGAAACGGTATTTTAGGGTAAAATTGAGTTCTACGTTTTCATACCTCTTCATTCAGGCCGTAGGTGTTCCTCAAGGCAGTGTTTTAAGTGTCATACTTTTTATTACTCATGTTTCACTCATTTTGAACATACTACCACCTCATGTATTTGGTTCACTTTATGTTGACGATCTAAATGTTTCATGTTCTGGCTCTGATATGCGCGTTATTGAGCGTCAACTTCAGCTGGCCGTCAATAAGATTTCAAATGCGCAGATTACACAATGATCCTGTTATTTCCATTCATAACGTTAATATACCTATTGTGTCGGAGACGAAATATTTTGGCGTAATTTTTGACAGTAACCTCACTTTCCTGCCCCATATTCGTTATCCTTAGAAAACGTTGTGAAAAAACTTTAAACGTCCTACGTGTTCTCTCAAATAATTTCTGGGGTGCGGATCGCATCGCCCTAATCAGAATCTACAAAGCGTTGATATTATCACGCATTGATTATGCTTGCGCAATCTATGGCACTGCAACTGCGTCAAATTTGAAGCTGTTAGATACAGTCCATCATACTGCAATGCGAATCTGTAGCGGCGCATTTCGAACGTCCCCAGTCGAAAGTTTATATATGTAGTATATGTAATTTATCATCTCTCTATTTTCGACGTATGCAGCTCTGTCTTACATTTTACTTTCGTGTTATGTCATCTAAATCTCATCCTCTTCGACATGAGGTTATTCCATTAAGCTTACGACGATTATATGATGCACGCACCTCCTTTTAATGCTCGTATGCGTACAGACATTCAATTTTTGCGAATCACCATCTCAATCAACCGATCACTTTCTTAACAAACCGTTAGATTATTCCGTCATATCACTTTTATTCTCCATTTGCTTCATACAGAAAATCCACTAGCGTGTATATTCAGCTATTCATGTCTCATCGTCATGAGTATTCTCAGTGTGTTTCTGTTTTTACGGATGGGTCAAAATCTCCAGGGCATGTCGAATGTGGAATCATTATAGCTGATCGAACATACAGTTACATCATACGTGCCATATGTTCTGTATTTACTGCTGAAGCTGTGGCCATTCTCATAGCTCTACGACTTATCTCATCACTAACCGCACGAAAGTTTTGCATTTACTCTGACAGCCGAAGTGTTTTACGTCAGCTGAATAACCATGTAAACAACCAAGCTCACCCTATTTTATGTATCATTTAAAATCTTTAAGTTAGTCTTCACAAAAGTGGTTTTAAGATTTTATTTTGTTGGATTCCCAGCCATGTTGGTATTTCAGGTAATGACATGACTGACTCTGCTGCCCGATATGCTACGACTCCATTAACACTATAAGTCCCCATTTCTGACATGAAGAATTATATACGACAGTGTACAATGTCTCTGTGTGGCAGCAACACTGGGATTTACAAATTGAAAGCAAACTGCACACAATTAAATCCACGCTAGAGCCTAGGCCTGTGTTGCAATTGCGCGGAGCAGATGTCAAGCTCACCCGCCTACGTATAGGACATACTCGACTGACTCACCTTTTCTTGCTGTTCGAAGAACCTCCTCCTTGATGCGATACTTGTAACGTTTCACTTTCAATTCATCATATTTTAATCGCTTGCCCATGTTTTAACCAACAACGCCTTGCCTTTTTTGGAAGCAAGATTTTATATATAAAAGACTTGTTAGATAAAAATCACCATCCTAACATTGTAATGTGTGGCACAAATAAATAGTCCAGGTTGGAAACTATTATTTATTCAAACTCTTCGTTTCCACAACACAAACAAATACACACACATACACATATTCAACACAAAAAATAATATTAAAAAAATCTCGAGCGAGAGAACGTTCAAAGTCCGTGTTCTCATTTCAACTTCTTCGAACCAACTCCACATCTCCTCGCCAAAACGACCACCACTTGCCAAGATAGGCGCGCTTCTCTCTAACTGTTATAAATTAGTTCTTTCTTTGTTTATTAAAATGGTGAGTTAATAATCTTACGGAATTGAAATCTTACATACTCCTCCAACCACCAGACTTTGCCTTTCCCGATACATAGGGGAAAGCAAAGGAAGAAAAAAACTTTCCATGAGGGCAGTAAGGTAGGGAGTTCTCTCATCATCACCAGGCCATAGGATAAAATTTTACCATCTAAGGAACGTTTAGTTCTTCATATACATATGTAGATATAAGTTCAGGAGTTTGTAGAATATAGAAGGATATAAATATAATATGCATATGAAATCTTGCTAACCAAAAATTTTCAACGTTTATGTACATGCACTTACTACATAAAACAATTTAGTTTAATACAGGTAACTATGCAAAACAATTGATTACAAATACAAAACACTTGACTATGAGTACAAAACAAGTTAATATGAATATTAAACAATATAAAACACAATTTAGAATGAATGTAAACAAATAAAAAAAAATAATATCCCTTTTCAATCCTTGTATAAAAGATTTCGACTTAAACAGTCTACGTTAGAGTTATCCTTTCCTTTTTTATGTTCTATCTTATAATTATACGATTGCAATGCCAAAGACCAGCGAAGAAGTCGCGGATTTTGTCCGGCATTCTTTTTCAGCCAAACAAGAGGATTGTGATCTGTTTGGATACAAAATTCTGTTTGCCCATCAATATATCCCTTTAGCTTTTTAACACCGTATAAGATTGCAGCGCATTCCTTTTCGGTTGTGGAATATTTTTGCTCAGCTGATGTGAATTTTTTGCTTAAGTACAAAATCGGATGTTCATTTCCCTCATCATCTTTTTGAGCTAAGATAATCCCATATCCTAAATCTGACGAATCTGTTTGCAAAATAAATGGTTTTGAAAAATCTGGCGCATGTAAAATAGGCTTATTCGCAAGTTTGTCCTTTAAAGAATTAAATGCTTGAGTGCATTCCTCATTCCACACAACTTTCCCTTTTTTATTTTTACCCTTTAACAGTTCCGTGAGTGGCGCAGTTATCACCGAAAACATAGGAATGTATTGACGGTAATATCCAGCCAAACCTAAGAAAGCCCTAATTTCTGTTTTACAAGTGGGTATAGGAAAATTTTGAATAGTTTTCACTTTAAGTTCCGCGGGTGAACGTTTTCCCTTACCAACAACATGCCCAAGATATTTTACTTCCTCTTGCACAAATTTACACTTAGTTGGTTTTATAGTCAAGTTAGCATTCTTTATTCGCTTTAAAACCTCTTGTAAATGTTGCAAGTGCTCTTCCCAAGTTTGCGAAAATATCGCAATGTCATCAA